GCTGCACATATTTTAAATCGCAACCAGGAACAGCAGACCCCAAAAAGACAGGAAGTGATCAACACAAAAAAATCACAAACCCCATTAACCTAAAAACAACACTACAAACCCAGAGCATCAACCCACAGGGACAAATCCAAAATGCCTGAAATATAAATAATGGCAACGAAGAAAGGATAAAGAACTTGATTGAAGAAACGAATAAAAAAACAACATCTACAATCCAAAAAATGCAATCAGACATCAACGAACTCATCAAAGAGTGCACACAGCAACTCAACAACAGGGTAAACGAAATCAGCAACCAAGTTATCACAAACATGCAAAGAATCGAACTGATCGCCAACCACCTAGATGTACAATGGACCATGGACAATCAACAACAACGAAGTAATGGATAAAAACATCACCCCAAGCTCTTCAACAAACAAAATCAAAATCATAGAAATAAACATAAACTCGCTAAAAAGTAAGTACAAAAGAACAGAAATAAGAAATTTACTAGATGAACATGATCCTGACGTAGTTTTACTATGCGAAACTAAACTAAGCCATATACACAATCCTACATTCTGTAACTATAAAATGATCAGAACAGACAGGATTAATAACGGAGGTGGAGGCACAGAAATTTTAATAAAAGATGAATTTATTTACAAAATCATACAGATTAACAAACATCTGCCATTAATTGAACAAACAACTATTAAAATAAAGTTAGCAAATAACAAAAACTTATTCATAACAAGCGCATATGCCTCCAGCTCTAATAGAACAAGGCTAGACACTGATCTCACCATCTTATTCGACGAATTAAAACTCCGAGACACGAACAATTATTATATAATCTCTGGTGACTTTAATTCCAGACAACCAATATTTGTTGTGTATTTATATAAGCTTAAAATCATAAATCCAGCTGAGGCAACCTATCCAGCATCAGATGCATCCATTGACCTCACCCTAATGGACTCGAGACTCAAACCTACAGACAAACTAGCCCGAACAATAACACTGAATAGCGACCACAGGACAACATCCATTACGACAACACTACCCAAGGAATACACACCTGAATTCGCTAAAAATAAAGAAATTAAATACCTATACAAAAAAACAAACTGGAAAAAATTCCAAAAAAATCTAATTAAAAACTATACACTAAAAATACCAGATGACAGAAATTTGTCAAACCAAGAAATTGATAACTACATAGAAGAAAATGAAAAATTAATTAATAAAACAATAGCACAAACAACCCCTGTACACCAAAATACTGATCCCTATAAAAAATTTCAATCAACTAAACTTCAAAAGTTATACTCAATTAAACACAAAATACAAACACAGCTACACAAAATAATTAACAAAAAAGACAATAACAGCATGGCTAAAACCATCGAACTAAAAAAAGATGTGAAAAATATAACATCGAAAATATTAAATGAAATATCAATAATATCTAAGAATGACTGGACATCTACCCTAAAAACAATATATTATAAAGACTCAGCTGAATTCTTTCCATCCTTTAATACAATTTTCAGGAAAAGCAAAGAAAACAACACTGGCATTGACCACTTCCTTATCAAATCATCAGACCTGAATAATACACACAGAAACCAACCTAAAAATTCAAATGTAATCATAGATGGTATAAACTACACCAAAGTGTCAGTCGCGTTTTTAAAGCTGTAAAAATTCAAAGCTCACAAAAAATTTATCATTAAAAAATTTTTTTTTCTTATCTCACAACTTTATTACCAGAGCAACAAAATCCTGGAGCTTAATCTCTACGTTATTTGTCGCAACAAAAATATAAATTCATATTCTAACTATTTAAAAATCTGAAAGACTCAAGAGATTACTATGAGGGTTATTGTGAAAAGCTGATCCCTCACTTAATAAATTCTTTCGTCATTTTCTTGATACCTAAAATTGTATTCATAAGATGCTTTTGAAGTTTTTCTTCTAATTCGACTTTCTGTGACTTTTGGCATAGTTGAGACTCTTGTGAGCCCTAAAGGCTATTTTTTTCAACTTTATTAGGTTGTCATATATTTGTTGGCAAGGTAGTTTGACGTCCGATGAACCTGAAAAGGACCGGTGAGCTTCTTAAGTAAAGTCTTTCTTGGCTGAAGTTTCCAGCAAACATGACTGTCTGAATACCTCAGAGTTTGAAGCTTTGGAGCAAGTTGCAGAGCTCTTTCCCAACATCTCCTGGTATAACGTCGAAGATGGTGTCTAAAGCTCCTTTTTTTCAGACTCAATTGTTTTGGTGACCTAAGGTGGAAAGATTGGTTCGTGATGCTTGCCCGTTGGTAACTGTCCCGTTGGCTCACTTTTATTATTTTTTCTTCATAGCTGTTAAGCTCTCCCAGTGCAGACCTTGGAGAGGATCGGTGATTCCTGGTTAAATGCTTAAAGTTGAGAGGGTAATATAGGGTCGTCGGTCACTACGGTTTCCAGCCTTGCGACGAACAACCCTGTTCTTGACGTCTGCCAGTGAATGACTGACTTGGTTTAATAGTGGCTGGCTTCACATAGTCTTTGAGTTGACGAATCATCTCCGGAAATCGTAGTAAAAATGTATTAGTTGACAAGGTAATTTAAACTTAGGTGGCCCTTAAAAGGACCGATGAGATTGATGGTTAAGTAGGGAACGTAAATACTCATAATGGCCCTGAAAAGGGCCAGTGGTAAAACTTGCAGCTATTCCTTATTATTATTCTTGATGATGAACAGTCAGCTGCAGGTAGCTTGGCGCTTATCCTTTGAGTCTCTGTGTACAGAGACCGTACAGGAAGAGAAGTCAGCGTTAACCAAAGAATATCCCGTCTTCAGGTCATTCCCCGGACTAACCATTCATCGGTAGTCAGGAAAGTGGGCCTGGAGAATACCTTCTCTGTAGATATGCCGTTGGAACAACCACTAAGGAGGCCGGGCTTCCCGTACTCTTTAGGGCTGTCTTTCCTGGCTCGCATTAGAAGTAGAAAATTTTCTGACGGCACCAGGTTGGATGGTTGAACGGCCACAAAGCTCTGAACTGCCGAAGGAGGTTGTGCTCTGGCTAGTAACGGTTTACGTTATCCCACCGAAGACTTTGACATTTCGAACGCCTGTTTTCCCGTGGCACTCGTTTATTATGGGGATCTGGAGTAAAAACCAATTTATTTCGCTTGCCCATGAAAGAAGAGTGTCATCGGTAGCCGGGATGCCCAGTTGCACGACGGACTCCTTTCTTCTTGGTGTAGTGCCGATGATCAACTGCAGTAATTGTCCGCTCGATGAGGCTTCATATAACCTTTTTTTACTACCTTTGGTTGCGGGTGGCTTCAATTTTACCTCGACGCCACCCAGCGGATCCTACTGAACTAAAGCGCAAAACTAGCTTATTTTAGCAAAACTTTGAGCTTATTTATCGCTATGGTTATTAACTTTTTCAAAAAAAAAAAAATTATGCAAAAACCATCTCGGAATCATGAAGAATCAGTATGCCAAATTTCAGCACAATTGGTTCAGTTGTTTTTGCGGTTAGCGATTACAACGGTTTTAGCGACTTTGCTTCATATATTAGTCAGATAAGATAAGATAAGACAAAGATATCCAGACATTAAAAAACTTTGATCATTATAATAAATAGCAAAAATAAAATAGTTAATAACCGACTAATACGTGATGTAATAAGACAGCTCATAAAGTACAACATTTCTAAAAAAAAGAAAAATTTTGTCATATTACTTGTTACCTAGTTATAAGTGCGTATTTATTTATTGTTACATATTTATTACCTTTTATCGAGATAACCGAGCAAAGCTAGTTTTTTGAGTTTTCTGGCAAAGCACACATAAAATAGACTAAAGTTTGACTGCGCTTAAACTATACGACACGAAAGTGGATGAAAAAAATAAAAACAAATAATTGTATACAGCGAGCATTCTGATTACCATTCTGTATCTATACATGTTCATATTGTAAATTTAAGACGGATGTTTTAAATATTTTTCTCATCCTGTAATTAATATCTGATGAACAATAAAAAATCATTTAAAAAAAAAAAAAAAAAAAAAAAGATACCTGGCTTTCACCCAGAAGGCTCGGAAGCAGAAGCATTCCGGAACCGGAAATTTTTTGACAAATTAATATTAAATTTTGTTCATTCAAATTTTTAAACCAATGTTTATAAAGATTATGAATGGAAAAAAAAAATATTAATTTACTCATTTAGAAATTACTTTTTAGCATGATGACTTACTTCCACGAATTTATTTTATATACTTGCATTTCCATGAAATAATTTGATCAACGTCATCATAAAAATGAATTAATGATTAAATGGCTATGTTTTCTCTGTTTTGTGTTGAATATTTTGAAGTCTATCGTAACTAAGGATAAAAAATTTTACATATACGACATTACGAGTGGCTCTTTACCGAGAACATTAAAATATAACAAAAAAAGTATATCTGACTAAGCTAAGTAAACCTAATAAAAATTTACCTCAAATTTTCAGAGCCCCTAATCTTGTAATCTACACTTAATAAGCAGTGTTATTTATTACAAGAATGTTGAAATAACAAATAATAATTTTGTAAGCAATTCCAATTCCAAAATTAATATGCATTATATTGTTAGTCTTAAATAGCATATAGTATTATTTTTAAATTGAGTTATGACTATTACTGGTAGCTACTGAAAATAAGTTTATGCAATAAATTTTAATGTTTAATACTACATAATATAACTATTCTAAGTAGTAGTTAGAAATTTGATCATTTTATAATTTGTAATAAAATTTTAGTAAATATTTGTTATTTTTGTCCTCTAAACATTTCATTTTAACGACTTGCAACTTGATGCTTTTCAAAATACTACTATAATAAATTATTATCCTAAAGTACTTGCACCTATATATTTCTTTATAATGGTAGTTGTTTTTTAACCGACTACCAAAAAAAATTTGATATCAGAGTATAATAAGGTTAAGACTGAAAACTCACTTGATAAAAAAAGGTCTTGGAGGGCCTGGGCAGCCTGGCATAAAAGAGCCCAAGTCTCCGCTGCAGCCAATCCTGTACCTCTGAGAGCAATTATGTCTCCCGCAACGACTCCTAAGCCGGCGCCGCCAACGGTCTTCATTGGCATTCTGAAATAAAAATTTCAAGCGTGAATTCTGGAATGGTATCATATATAAAATAATTAAATAATTGGTAGCTCAACATTACTTTGTATTTAGTTGAACTTATAATTAAAAATTTAAACAATTAATTTAACAAAAAATAGGTAAATTATTTATTTTGAGGGGTTGCTTATTTGCAAATTTCGAAAAACATTTACAAACCGTACCGAAATTTTTGTAGTTTTGACAAGACTTTATACAAATTTTATGACTTTAAATAAGTTTGAAGTCACTAGTTGATTTCAAATTCCTGTAAAACTTATGTGTAATAATGCTCGTCCTTAAACAACTATTTGTAAAAAAGTGAGGTTTCAACTAAACGAGCACTGAAGAAACAGTAACAATTAACGGATTAATTCGACTTTGGCAAAGTCCACCTATACGTTACACTCAGGTTAGAATTATACGTACAAAGCACAACAGACCTAGTCTTTTTCTCTTCTATCATAATATACGTGCTTTGGTAAATATCAGGGTGGAGCAGACGGGACATAAGATGTAAAGAGATATGGGAGAATGACCGAGGAGCATCAATGGAACAATCGTCGGCGTACTTTACACACCTTCAGACGCACTTCTGTGAAATGTACAAACCACAATAGACGTCAAGTACGCTCAAGCCGAGCCAGTCAGTCAGCCAGCCAAACACTGCCGCCTGCACTCTGATGCCACCTGTTCATTGCACGTGGGTCGGAACACATGGCTCGAGTTTCTCTCTATAAATTTATTTATCTTCTTTTGTACCTATGCTCTAAGCCGCACGCGTGAGTAACGCGTTTGCTTTCTGCTGCCTCGCTCTACTGATAGTCCAGGTTGTAACCTGGAATTCGTTGGAAAAAATATTTGGATTTGATTTTTTCTAATTTAAAATTTGATCTTATGAAAACTGACCCCCGAAAAACAAATGTGCATGTTGCCAAGTTTAAAGTTGGTCAAAAATTGTTTAAACAAATATCAAAAATCGTGTATCAAGAAAATTATTTTTTAGATTTTTTGAACTTTAAACAAATGAGATCTCTCGCAATTTTTCTCCAAAATTCAAAATTTCCGAGATATTAATTATTTAAAGTTCGGAAGAATACAAAAATAGCGATTTTACATAATCAATCCATTACATTCGACTTGGCGCACTGACCCTCAGAAAACATTTTGTACTACTAATAAACATTGCTCTTGTCCAAAGTAACTTCACTATATGTCACAATTAGTTTTATGAATGTGTCTACGCACTTTATTTTAATTTTCACACAAAATTTGATACAGATTCTTTTGTCCATTTTTTGGAAAAGACAAATTTGGAAAAATCGATATCGAGCCAAAACACTTCCAAGCAAAACAGCTGTCAAAAATTAACTCAACATTCAAAATGGCCTAGCTTCACCGCATGAGTGAGAGACATGAGTTTCTAGATGACGCCATAAAAAAATCAATATTTATTTTAAAAATGGAATGCCGGAATTTCAAGTGGATAAGCATTCTGCATACATGTAAACAATTATAATTATCATAATAATCATAATAAAAAAATTATAACATTTAAACCATTCAAGGGCTGTTCAATTGTTTTTCTATTAAAAAGGAATATGTTAAATTGATGTTGTCTCAAAATTTTGTCGTGTGATACTTTTCATTATGTAGAAAAGTGTTTGAACAAAAAGGTTCATAAATCATAATTGTATAGACTGGAATATACTAGTTTCTTCGTAACAGTATATTTAAGGTAGAGTGTCTCTAACTTTTCAGAACTTTCAGGAGGACAAGTATCTTTCTGTGTACCGCTCGCACAGTGTAGGGGCTTCTTTTGATAGGCACCCGATTATCTGTTAATAGGAACCTTTGCGCGAGGAAAACTTCAAAATGAGAGTGCTTGACTAAAATATTGTCAGAAAATTCATTAATGCATGGCTCTATTATTGGCTGATGCTTGATAGTGGGAATTTTCACTCTTCCCAAAGTTGTTGCATTGCTTGCTTCTCTTCACGCTCTGTTCTTGCTAACAGTTCGGATGCAAGTGGCACTGTCGATGTTGGATAACTTTTGCATGTTGTAGCGTGATAGCGACAGTCAACGGTGGAAATCATTGACTGCTGCTCCTCTTTTTTTACTTAGTAAATTTTTTCGTACTCGTAATTAGATGGGTTGAAATTCAAGTGATCTGTTTTTTCATTAGCGCAGATTTTATTTTCTATCGCTGCTTGAGCATGTTTTCGGCCGGTTAAATAAGTACAGTAAATCAATAAGTTTATTAGAAGCCAAGTTAATTGTGTTACAAACTATGTTGTTGATCAAACATTAAGAATTTTTTATTACTGTACAGACAATTTCAATACTTTTTCAATTTCTTATTCAAAAATTGAAGCAGTGAAAAAATATACAAAAACGTCTAGCAAAGAAGCATGCGAGAGTTTATCACTCCGTTTTACTACAATAAGAGAAAGAAAATTAATCAAATCAGAAAACCAGATAATTCTGATATGACGTACCATAAAAAGGAAGAAAGTTTTCTCTCGATCGGACCAATAAATAAAGCAAACTTAGCTGTGGTAACACTGTTCACCCCTACTAAATCTGTTAAAGTAAAATGAAAGTTCTCCAATTACATGTTAGTTAAAAATTTAATTACAACACCATCGTAAAAAGTGGCTTTTAAAAATTATTGGAAAAAATTGTGTTTCAATTAAGTATTATCAACAAATCTTATTAAAAGTGCCTGACAATCGTTGATATCAAAGCTTAATACGTATCTACATTTCCATTCAATCAATCCATTTAATTATGTACTAAAAAATATTGTAACTTTCCGTTATTGGTAACCTAGTTAACTTTCCCATCAAACTCATTTTATCACCAAAACAATTACGGATTTAAAGTTTGATCGTATAATTTTCGAGAATATATTATTAAAATTCATCTTCATTATTCATTTTATTTTAAGACGTGCCTCTTATTTTAAGAGTTGCTAGAAGCTACTTCTGGAAACTTTTATGAATGTATAAGATTTATTTTTAAAGCTCCATAAATGAGAGAAACAGGGACAATAAAAGACAAACAGGTGCATCAAAATATAGGAGCATTTTTGAAACTTTTTAACATACAGTTACTGCTAAAATGCAGTAAAGTTGAAACAGCTATGTATAGAGCATCGGTTTACAAACTTACCCTATTTTGACAAGTACCAAGCTATGGTGATTCTAAAACGCTTAAAAAATACTTATTCTTTAATAATGATTGTTACTTTCTTAAAAAAATTTTATTTGAAACTGCTGCGGTGAATTAATATTTTTCATTTTTTGTAAAATATAATCGACAATACTTTTAACGCTACTATGAATCCTGAAAATTATTCACTTATATGTAAAATCAATCATTAAAGTTTCTTAGGCAAAAACATGTTAGTGGTTACATAATCTATGAGAAATAAAATATAACATTAATACAAAATTGGTATGAGTGATTAAGCTGATGATAAACTAACTCAAACCCGCACAAAAATTAGGAACCATGACAAGGCATAAGCTTGAGCCAGGCTCTCTCCGAAAAAAGCAAATTCACCATTTCGTGATAGTATCGACACTTCAGTCATCGACACACAAGCAGTAGCACCCTCGGTAGCACCAGTAGCCGGTACCTAGTATTCGAGCGATGTGAAATCGCGCGCGTGCCCGAGGAGCTTTTACGTCCTTTGTATGTGTACGCGTTCAGATACATCTCGATTCAACGTATGCACAATTTCCGTTCCTACATTGGTAATATATCGGAAGTGCTTCGCAAAATGTCGTATTATATGCTGTTACATGTCAAGTCAAGTATAAAGTGGTTGTACTCAAGTTATGTAAGAATCTTAGGCGTTGATAATCTACTCTGCAACTGTATTTTTTATTTTCAACAGCCAAATTCTCTGGTAAGAAAAAATATAATCCATTGGTCTTAAACAAAAGCACTGTAAATAATTTATTTATTTGTTTACTAAATTTAAATGAATAAACGATGGAAAATCCATAAAAATATCATTTATTTTATAACAATCACCTTTACCTACTCGTGTTCAATAATATTGACTAAACCTCCTGATTTTTTTATTAAATTGGTTTTATTATGTATAAGAAAAAATGATAATAAATGTATTGTTTCTTTAAAAATTCTTTAGTATACATAAAGAAAACTTACTAAATATTTATTTGATTTTATCACGAACAAAAAAGTTAATACAATATACTAATAACTATCAAAAGGGACAAAATTTTATATGTTTAAAAAAATGTTAATACCTCAAACATTTACGAAAACACAAATTATGAGATAATAATACCTTAAACATCGTCGACGGGTGCGTTTGCACTTGGTGGTACTCTAGCATTGATGATCTCATGTGGGGCGATAGGTTGTAATCGTGAGCCAGGTAAATAGTAGGCGAGACAAGAGACGCCGACCAAAAATAGAAAGAACAGGAAGACCAGGTCGAACATCAGAAGTGAGTTCAAGGTCAGTAGCTGCATCGTGCAGCCTCTCCCTCACCATATCACACGGGTGTCGGCCAATTCCTTCGTTTCCTCAAACTTTTACTTTATCTTCTTACCTTGTCTACACTTTTTCAAGCTTTTTTGTTGCTTTCGATTTTTACGAGCTTTTATTACTTATTTCAGTTCCACTTGCACTAGTTTATTGTCGATCGATTCTCAAGAAGATTTTCGGGCAACATCTCGAGATATTAGCGCACTTGACACTTTTTCCTCATTTTGCGTCACTGAATTATACATGTCGGTCAGCTTATTGGTTGTTTTTATTTTATCAGATTGTATTAGATCTACCGACATAATAAATAAAATTCCAAGTTTATTTTAATACTTACTAGAAAACGTTTTAACTAAAATCTCATTCAATTTTTGCAGTTTTTTTTTTATATAAAAAATTTAAAACTATCAAAGCTGGAATTATTCAGAAAATCGAAGTTGACTTTGATTGCGCTTTCAATTAAGTATTATCAACAAATCTTATTAAAAGTGCCTGACAATCGTTGATATCAAAGCTTAATACGTATCTACATTTCCATTCAATCAATCCATTTAATTATGTACTAAAAAATATTGTAACTTTCCGTTATTGGTAACCTAGTTAACTTTCCCATCAAACTCATTTTATCACCAAAACAATTACGGATTTAAAGTTTGATCGTATAATTTTCGAGAATATATTATTAAAATTCATCTTCATTATTCATTTTATTTTAAGACGTGCCTCTTATTTTAAGAGTTGCTAGAAGCTACTTCTGGAAACTTTTATGAATGTATAAGATTTATTTTTAAAGCTCCATAAATGAGAGAAACAGGGACAATAAAAGACAAACAGGTGCATCAAAATATAGGAGCATTTTTGAAACTTTTTAACATACAGTTACTGCTAAAATGCAGTAAAGTTGAAACAGCTATGTATAGAGCATCGGTTTACAAACTTACCCTATTTTGACAAGTACCAAGCTATGGTGATTCTAAAACGCTTAAAAAATACTTATTCTTTAATAATGATTGTTACTTTCTTAAAAAAATTTTATTTGAAACTGCTGNTGAAGAAAGTCTGAATGACAAGAAATTGTATGAGGTGGTAGAGCACAATCCCCTACCTTCTTTAATCAATAAAACAAGTAACCTGTTGAATGAATTGAATGGGTCAGACCTTTTTGGTGATAGTGGTAATAAAAAAGTTTTTAACACAATAAGGGACAAATGTATTTTGGCTAAGTGTTATGGCTTAGTTAAGGTACATAAACCAAATCAGCCCATGAGACTTATAATCTCAAATATAGGATCTCCCACATATTTTTTATCAAAGTGGGTTTCAGAATTTTTGAAAAATAATTTACCTCCTTCACCTCATAACGTAAAAAATAGTTTTGAACTTAAGAATGATATTAAGAATTTCCTTATACCTGACGGTTTTTGTATCGTAAGTTTTGATGTCGTTGCTTTATTTAATAACATTCATTTTGAATCAGTAAAAGTAGCTTTAGAATCAGTTTGGCACATTTTAAATTTAAAAATTAACTTAGAATTCTTTTCATTTCTAAATATCATTAGGTTTATTATGGAGAATAATTATTTTAGCTTCAATAACAAAAATTACAGACAAAAGTTTGGATCTGCCATGGGAAGTCCATGCAGCCCATCACTTGCAGATATAGTTATGCGTCACATTATAAAAATGCTATTATTTCTCGGTCCCTTTGAAATTAAATTAATAAAAGTTTACGTAGATGATTTGTTGGCTTGCATTAAGATTTCGGAATCCGACAAGGTTTTAAATTATTTGAATTCAATTGATAAGCATATACAGTTTACTATGGAGACACCTAATAACAATAGCATAAATTATTTAGATATGACTTTAACATGGGATAATAATGGAAGCATTAAAACCAATTGGTTTCAGAAACCAACACATGCAAACCTTCATTTGAATTATTGGTCACACTCTCCATTGTCACAAAAAATTGGAGTGATTTATTCTTTGGTCGATCGTGCAATTAAATTGTCAGACACTTGTTATCACAATAACAACCTAAAAAAGGTATATGAAATTTTGAAAGAAAACAATTACCCACCCGATTTTATAAAAAAACACGCAGAGAGAAGAAAAAAAAATTATATATTATAATAATAAAAATGATAATAATAATAATTCAAATAAAAAATTAAATGATGATAACAAAAACTATATTGTTTTACCGTATATAAAAAATTGTGATAGTAACTTCAAAAGTTTATTAAATAAAGTAAGTTATAAAACCATTTTTAAATCTGTAAATAAACAAAAATTTTTAAACCAATTAGGAAAAGACTCAATTAAAAATAAGGATAAAGTTTGTTCAGTCTATTGTATTAAATGTAAAAATTGTGATAAATGTTATGTTGGTCAATCTAGTCGAGTCGTATCAAAAAGAATAAATGAACATAAGAGAGATGTGAAAAGTAAAAAGAACGAATCAGCTATTTTCAATCATGTACAGGACAATGGCCACTCATTTGATTTTGATAATTTTAAAGTTATAGATAATGAACCAAATTTTTATAAGCGTTTAATATCAGAAATGGTTTTTATAAAAAAATATAATACAGTTAACAAAGTTACAGATACACAAAGTTTAAGCTCAGTTTTTGAATTTTATATAAACAAATACTTATAACAATTTTCATAATTTGATAATTCATAACAATTTATATCCATCAATCTCTTTTTATCGGTTAGTGGCCACTTTCCTTGATATTGAGTTTGATTCTTTAAAGTAAAAATAAACTTAGTTTCATAAATTACCGCTGATTTTGTACTACACCAGGTTCACCACTGTTGTAGTACTACACACACATGTTCTCACGTAGCTTTAAAAAGAATTCCCATATATTGTACTATATCGCAGTTGAGTAGAATAAACATCTCACATTGACGACACTCTGCGATTATTGTTTAATATTGTAAGTAAAGATAAAACTTTTATACATTGTTAGTGCGTTTTCTGTTGTGTACATCTTTATATACATATTTATATTACCATTGCTGTATATTAATTTTTAGTGACTTGATAAGGACTGCCTTGGAGTAGTCGAAACGTCGTTTTTTAAAATAAAGTCAATTTGAACAGCATAGCCCTTAGTACTTGTCATTATTTATTGTATTATTAGCTGTTCTTGGAATCAAACAATAATTTATAATTAAATTTAATACTCTGTACATAACTTTCTAGATTTAGTTTACACTGTTACTTTAAAGCTTCACAACATAAACATTTGGATGGACCTTATTAAACTAAATATTTGACTGAATTATATTCAACTATTGATTGCGGCAGTATATCTAATCTAACGTATTGTTAAGTACAATGACATTTAGGTCGACCATTAAACATTAATTGCAGTATCTCATACTACGTTTACTGTTATTCTCTTTGAATTTCGCGTTTACTATTAGTATTGTTTGGTAGTAATGAAAAATTAAATTTGTTATAAAGTTTGAAATTTAAAATATATCTGGGCCATATTATTTGTACAAAGACATGATTATTAGATGAATTACTCAAAAAATATTTTAATTATTCAATAAAAAATACATGTACATACATCATCTCTAATTGAAATGTTCAATGGTTAACCATATTATTCGATTTTTTAGTGATTAACAAATGTTTAATCATAAAATCAATTTAATTATTAATGTATTGCAATGATCATTTAAAATAAACATGATGTTTACGTAAAATGGGTGCAGTTCAAAGTGTAATCAAAAGAGATATTCTATTTGATGAATGGACCGCAAAATGTGTCAAAACGTTTTAGTTGTACATTCTAAACATATTTAAATTATCAATTATTAAATTACTACTCTTTACATGGTACTCTTTAATTGATTTACTAAACGATAATACGTTTAATATCCCTTCACTCAATCAACACTAAAAAAATTTTATTTTACAACAGTCTCTTTACACGCGAATTTGGAAAACTAGAAAAACGGAACAGATACTATCAATCGTTTGACGATTTGCAATGACAAAACCTTCCCTCGGCTTTTACGGCCAAACAGCGTAGCACGAACGCGTACTTGGGTTGCGTGCTGAAAGCGACAAACTTGTCGGATGCTTTGGTCCGACTCGTAAAAACCGCGTCCTCCACTCTCTGTAACGGAAATTACGTCACGCTCGTAAATTTTCTTTCTACGCTCGAGACCCGTGGCTTGCCACGTCGTCTGCTGACACGAATGCACCCAGAGATTGCGAGATAATGCACCGAGAAAATTACTAGACTAAAAATTTTACCCGACATTAAGACTGCCTTCCCTCTTTACTCGTCATTACTTGCTTTTTTCATTTAAAAAGACAAGTTGTTGTCTTCTGTCATCTTAGGAAAAAAGGCTTCTTCAAGGGAGAATGCCGTTAATTTCGATTGTACTTTAAATTACACGGGTTTGCATGATTTTTATACAAGTGAACTGTAATAAGCATTAATTGTAATTAATGCACGATTTGAACTTTTGACAAAAAAAATTTGAGTACTATCTCGCATGTTTACCATGCAGCTAAATGGTAAATATTAAAATTAAGAATAAAGGTTACGTGAACGGTTGAAGTTTTTTTAAAGTCTTCCTCCGACTATGTCAAGTGGATAAACAAGAGCTTAAGAATTAAGTCCGCAAAGTGATTTACGCTACTGTTTCTCTTCCACATCTATTACCGCTTACAATTTTTATGTTGCTTTTAGTTCCATTGAGGCGGTTGTTGATTTTTGCGTGACGATTATCATGGTGATGAATATTCTTTTTTTTATCGTACAAGATTTTTTTAAAGTTAAGCTAACTGAATTAACTTTTTAGAGATCTTCCCTATGAAAACTTTCCGCCAAAAATAAAAATAAACTCATATGTTTCAAAAGTGTTTAATGTTTAATTAAAATCGTTTACATTTTATAAAGCATGGGTTGCAATAATTTAATATAATATATTGTTTCAGCAATAACGCGCTGGAGAAAAGCTGTATCGATTTTTACAAATGAGTTGACCCAAAATTAAATATAC